AATTCATGACATGACACAACGAGGTCCGCCTTTTTTATTTTGTCTTTTGTACTTTGAAGAGTTTTACTTAAAAGATATTACCCAAAACCAATTTACCTTTCACGGTATATGCGTTGTAACAAACAAGTTAGGGCAAGAACTTTGAAGTGAAGGTGTGAAAATACCTTTCAAATAAAGGCAACCTTAAACCCAACATAATGACCAATTGGCTGCTACTAGTTGTATTTTCTCTATCGAATGTTGAAAAGAATCTCAAGTTTAAATTCATCTTTCCCTGATCAAAAGAAAAAATTTACGATGATCAATGGTTAAATGAATTTCTATTAAGTTGAAATGATGAAGATATTAATCACGCTTAAATATTATTTCTAGTTACTCATATGTTGGATAAAAACCTTAATACGACAAGCTAACTATACTATTTTTCACAACGGGTAAAAACAACATTACATCAAGTGCGACTAAAATACAAACATATCAGATTTTTGTGAAGGATGCGCAAATGATATGACAAGGCACCCAAGCCCCATTCTTTCACAATGTAAACACTTTGACTTCGACCGCCAAGGATGTCCCAGGGTCTAGATGGCAAAACAAAAAAGGAAGAGAAGGGCAATTCAGGTAATCCGAGGTGGAAGCAGTCACCTCTCATCGTTCACTGAGTCCGACGCGGAGTCCACTCCTTTGTCTGACGCATCCTGCCATTTTGACTCGAATCTCACCCAGTCGCCACCGCACTCCGCCCGCCTTCCACCTCATCTCCATCTTCAACGCTTCACGCACACATCCCACTCCCTACCTCACCATCACGCCACGTGTACGCCCCACGGTTCAGTCGCCATCCCAGATACATTAGAAAACGAAACTCATATCTTCGGTTAAATCTCGTGTGGGCCCCACTCTGACTCAACCACAATAGACGGTCTACATTGATCTAATCGGACGCACAGGCGCCAGCCACCGCACCGAAGAGAGAGAGATAGAGAAGGAGATAGAACGGAACTGTCAAAGTGCCAACGAGGCCTTTCCCGCCTTTGCCTAAAAAGAGAATAAACAAACGGTTACGCATCGATCTCAACACGTAGTTCTGGCTGGGCCCTACCCGCCACCGCACATGTCTGTGTTTGTGGTCCAGCCGGCTGACGTGTTCCACGTATCTTGACTCGGTTGGATGTGGGGTCCAGGCGAGCATCGATTGCGTAGTCAGCTCTATATCATCTCGTCGGTACTTTCTAGAGATCTTGAAATGGCCCACGTGTCACCACTTACGTCCACGCGGGTGCTGCGTTCTAGTGTACCCATCCCTACCTACACAGTTTTAAGATGAGGATCCTTTTCGGATACTTTTTGTGGGATCTTATAAATCTTCGTATTCTAACTGTTCATCTATATCATACGATCAGTTTTCGTTATTTATATTTGATTATAAATAAAAAATTTAAAATAATTTCTGACCGTACAATATACAGTAAACAATTAAGATGTGAAGATTCCTAAAATCCTCATAATTTAGATTTGGATGGAATCCAAATCCCACATTTTACTCCAAAAAAGGACAAAAATGGCAAGAAATCAAGGCTTGCCTAATTATGAATTATTTTTAGGGTTCTATAGGACGAAAGGTTTATAGAATACGAGTCCCTAAGCTATAAATGAAAATTTGCTTAGTTGAATTCTACTGTTTTGTTTTTTTTTTTTTGAGTTTTTTCAAATATACTATATTATTTACATTAAGTGTGGACGAGTAGGTCAGCTTAATAATATGATTCAAATTCTCCTTTAATGATTATTAAATTTAAGATTTTTTATTTATAAATAAAAAAAAATACTATTAAACTATAGTACTAAGTAATAGGTTGATACTAATTATTAAGTTAACTCTAGAAAAAAAAAATAAGTCAGGTTAAAAGTAAGAAAATGTTCGTTTAAAGGGAAAAACTCAAAATTTCAGTTGTTCGTCTATTCCATATGATACCACTTTTACATTCTTCTTTATGTAGTTGTTGTCACACCAAGAGTTTTTCGTTTCGCACTCCAACCATCGATTATGTCGACTAACCTCCTTCTATTAATTTATTGAACCTTGAAAGCTACAGGGAAAAAATAATGCTGGTGTTCTCTCATGGAAGGACTTATTGCTACTCCTATTTACTTTTAATAGATCTTTGTTGTTTGAATATCATAACTGGAATGGTTTATTTTCTTTATCATTTATTTAAAGATCACAAAATCACATTTCTATTGCTATAACTAAGAGTGGCACTTACCTCAAAGAATCAGATAATTAAGGCACAACAACCTAAAAGGCTAACAAGATTAGTCCACGAATGACTATTAGTACTTCGTATTAGAGCACCATCGCTTATGGAAACTATCTGCAAAAAAATATTCAATTTAGAGATTGTTTAATCATCTATACATGATCAATGGTTTTGGTCACAAGTAGTATCTTCACCGTTTATATACTTTATGCATGTAAATAGCTAAAAGATCTTCAAATTGAATAATTTTTTTTCCAGTTAAGATTTTTAAATAATTATAAACAAATAAACGATTTTAATTATGATATTCGAATAATAAAAATTCGTTAATCATAAATAGATGATAAATAAATCCCGCATAAAAAGGACATCAGCACCTTCCAAAAACCAAAGTGCACGGGAGAAAGAAAAGTTAATAGATGGGAGGAGAAGAAATTAAAAAAAAAAAAAAAGAGTATAAAATATTAAAAAGTGAAAATAATTCAAAATTGTTTATTTCTTGTTTTTCAAATTTAATCTTCATTTTATTTGCACGTTCGTATACTTTTTATCTACACCTTAGTTGCTTCATAAATTTTCCTTCAATCTAACCACAAAAGAAAAACGGAAAAATAAATTTTTTGTCAAACAAGCTTTAAATATTTGCGAGTTAAGTGCCGGCAGGTTTTGTTTAATTCGACTACAAAATTAAATCTCTCCCAAAAGGCTACTTAAGTTGTAATACCAAACGGGTGAGAAATGTTTTAGTATGTTAAGAATACGGTTTTATACCTAAAGTATGATAATATACATTGAAGTATTCAAATATTTTTATTATAACATGTGTTACATTTAATTGTATTTTCGGTACGCTAAAATTACCGCTAAATGGTGTCGCGAAAGAGTCAGAATGGAAACGTCATGCAAAAGGTTGGCCGTTGATCAGTTGGCTGGATGAACGGCGATGCGATTATTGCGGTGGACTAGGAAAAGGACACGTGATTGGAGGGTAGCCTCTTTTATTAAAATTTTAATGGCGTGGTGAATCAGTGTAGACAATGAGATATTTTTCGGTATAAACGGTATACAGAGCAGTATATCACGTGTTACTATATAATATGTAATATATATGCTAAAAAATTAATAACTTAAAAAGTAAAATTTTTCATCATTTCTATTAAAACATGTCGTATATCGCTTGTATTCCAGTCACGATTAAAAATTTCTTGTGAACAATAAAAAGCATCCTTACCGACAAGGTGACGTGTTCTTAAGACACATGGTTAGCAAAGCCACGCTGGTGGGCCCCAACTGACGTGGACCATAAGAAAAGGGTTTCAGATCCGATCTAATTTATTATTTATTTATTTTGGACAAAATCTAATTTCTTTATTTGATTTCTAATGTTTTATTCTTTCGCTGCGCTCAAAGGCCCAATCACAATAACGAAACAACGCAAGGCCAACAGGGTGAAAATTACAAAAGCCGAAATCCACCCAATTTGGCCCAATAATTCCTTATACACATGGATGTGAAGTGATCTTGAGTTTCTGGATTGTACATATTTATTCGTATTTCGTTATATTTAAATTAGAGAACTGTTATTAGTATTTCAAAAATTTTATTTAATACTCTTATAAGTGTATTTTTCTTTCTAATTATGAAAAGTTTGAAGTACCACATAAGATTTTTGGAGTACTAATAACAATTCCCTTAAATTATTATCTAAACTACTTATTAACAATCAATTTAATTGTTCTTCTCTCCGTTTTGGTGAAAGTCCTTATCTCTCAGTGAGAGTTTTTCTCATCGCGGTGCGAGTGATCTCCATTCCGGTAATTTCTCTACAGTCGCCGGCCTTAATTGTGGCTAGCGTGTTCGTAGTTCCCTTATTTTGTTTTGTTTTCTTCTACTTTGCGCTTCAAAATCTGGTTTGGGCTCAGTTTTGTTTCAGGGTTTCTATTTGTATTGTGCTGATCTTGTAATTAGGCCTCTTCTTGTAATAAAATTTACTTTGGCACACAAAAAAAAAAAAAAAAAAACTAATGAAAATGACTTAAAAACTTTGAGTTTTAATTAAAATGACAAAAAAATGTTGTAAGTGAATAGTACCAGGAGTGACTTTTTAACGTAAAAATGTCATTTTCGTTAAAAGTGAATAATAATGGAAGTGTTTCGTTAAAATTCAAAAAAAAAAAAGCTAACTATTTACAAAACTTAAGCACGTACAAGGTTTTATAAAGTTTAAGCACATACAACGTTTTATAAAGCTTAAGCCATACAACGTTTTATAATGCTTATTTCCTCATTTCATATTACATGTTTGCATGAAAATAATCAAGATTAACATTTTAACGAATCACTTTAAACGCTTCAATGACATTGGCGGGTTACCATTCCTTGTCTCTAAATGTGATTAGACTTCAAAGCTAAACAAAAATAATTGACATGAATACAACAGTCATCAAAAGAATTCTCAATCAAATAAGTCAGAGTATTAAAGATTTGAAACATACCTAGAAGAATTATGCAACAAATTATATGACCGAATTGACAGAATATGTTTTATTTTAACGGAAAAATGAGATTCGAACTTGGAAAATAATTGTCAATCAACATATATGTCAATTGTGGGCAACAACGTAACTATGTGAGGGTGGGACAATTCACAGCATGACCGCGACTAGGTGATGGTGAAGTCTCATGCGTGAGAACTTTCTGTAATTATGTGCCTCGCCTTTTATGGTCGTGTGGATGCTAATGGTGGCAACTTTGAGTTGTTTAGGTCATTCTAAATGTGAATTTGAGGCGATTTTCAATTTCGGGGACTCGAACTTGAATACAGATGGGTCTTAGGCAACGTTTCCGGCGCAATCTGGACTTTATGGCATGACCTATTTCAAGAGACCTGTTGGTCGGGCTACGGATGGGAGGCTCATTGTTGATTTTCTAGGTAACTTAATCTTCTGTTTGGTTCCATTTTTCTTGTGTTTTTCCACTACTTTTCCAGCCAAACAGAGACTTTGGTTATTAGGAATAGGAGGTCAGATTTCATGCATGTTTATTGCTTGTATTTGTTCATCAAATTTGTCATTTGGCTTGATATTTTCCTAATCCCGTAACATACGGGAGGCCCTCCATTTGACAGGTCAATTACACCACAAGACAAAGACTCCAAAACTGGACAAAGTTTGGACTAATCACTAGTCATTTTCTTGCCCAATTTTCCTTTGTATCACTAATTATGTCAAGAATGATGTTGATGTTAAGGCATGTAATGGAAAATATCTAAATCATCATAGGTGAAGTTAGACCTATCTTTTTTATACAACCGATGGTCAAAACTACTTTAATTTACGTAAAGAAGATTTGAATTGAGAGCATATATGTGAACACATTACTCTGACCAACTGACCTAACTCATATATGCATGTCTCCACACTAAGCTAAACCTTAGAATGTACGTTGTGCAGAACTTTTAGAGCAGTATTTATTAGATATGTCGAACCACAATATACTTGTTGCTAAGAAAATGACGCCACGTGATATCGATAACCCCAAGATGTGCATTAGTGTCGAACACAAAATTACTAAACGGCAGATATGAGATCTGATTTTATGCTTTTTGGCATTAAACTTTGGCAGCCGAAGCTCTTGGGTTGCCATGTATAAGTCCATATCTGAAATCAATTGGACCTGACTACAAGCATAGGGCAAACTATGCAACATTGGCATCCACTGTGCTTTTGCCAAACGTTTCCTTATTTGTCACTGGAATCCAAGTTGAAGAGCTTCACCAGTCCTCGGATCAACAAGGTGAGCGTATACATATGAGTACAATGTCTTGACCAAATTGTTTTAATTTACGTTCGTATGCCGGTTTTTGTTGGTTCTGAATACTTCGATTGTTGTTGCTTAGAACTGATAAGATTTCCTTCCCTGGATGTTATTGGGAAATCACTCTACACCTTATACATTGGCCAAAACGATTTCACGTCCAATTTGGGAGCCATTGGTGTGGTATCTTCGTCAAGTGGTCTTACAAATTGCTTGTACCATCAAGGTGAGCCATTACTTGATTCTATACTGTTTGTTGGTCAAATGAGCTTTGGGCTTGATCATCAATGGTATAAAAGCTTTCCTTTACCAGTTGTATAAAATGAATATCTCACATTCATGGTCACGTGCTACTCGTATGTTATAAAAAAGTGAGGCATGTTGTTTCATGCAACGGGGTGCATAGTTTTTTCTCCTTAGAGGAGAGGCAAAGCATTCCTCAGTCACTATTGCATGCAACATTTGAGAAGCAAAAATAATGTTTATGGTTATATAAAAATGTTCTCTTGCTAGACTGTTTGGTGGTATAAAGACTTTTCTTTTTACTAGATTGTGAATTAGAATTTTTGTCAAAATTTGTGATCTAGGTCACAATGTTGCAACACAAATATTTGTTGGAGAATAATACATACAGTTACCGTTATAATATTAAAGAACTATGACATTTGCACATTGCTTATATTGGTTTTCAAAATCTATAGGAACTACATGGATTAGGAGGGCTTGCATTTCTGGTGCTTAATCTGGCACCAATAGGTTGTTATCCATCATCTCTGGTGGGGCTTCCTCCTTCTGAACTTGATGCATTTGGATGCTCAATTGCTTACAGCAATACAGTTGTGGACCACAACTAACATGTTGAAGGAGGCACTTGGCCAAACTAGAGGCTTCCTTCCAAATGCTTCCCTCATATATGCAGACACTTCTCTGTTTTGCTAGAGCTCTTTAGACATCCCACATCTCATGGTATAGCTCCCAATCAAGGTTTTCTATTCAACTACGCTTTATATCTTTAGAGAAATGTTTTTTTTTTTGTTTTGACAAACTTATTGACAGACAAATACTTATGTTGTCAGACTATGAATCTGGATCATACACTCAAAACGAATCAAACTAATATATGGTGCACAATCAATCTGACAACTTATTGTCACGCAGTACAACAAGAGGACATTTCCTAATAAAGTTACAACAAAACACAAACTTACTAATCATTACCATAGAATAGATCGATGGTCTTAACACAAAGGTGATCAATGGGAGCCCTGTGACTGCAACAGCTTGTAGTGACCCTTACAACTATGTGAGCTGGGATGGAGTCCATGTCTTATTCTTGAAACGCTATGTGGAATCTTCGTTTTTATATTTCAGGAATCACTAGTCATGATGGAGATAGCCTATAAAACTATATGCTAAACCCAGGTCACTTTCTCTTTAAATAAACAAAATTATTCCATGCTGATGGATCGGTTGTTGGCTAATGTAGATTATGTTAGAGTAATCATATTCTTACGCATTAATGTAGAACTTTTACAGTTTCAAATGCTGCAAACTGCAAATCATTTTATGCTAAAAGAACCTTTTAAATTTGTCCTCTACGTTTTATCTGTTGAATGTTATAGGCACAAAAGCCAAGCTGCCGTCCCTTCTGAAAACACTTAGCCAAGTAAACATGCATGCATTTTTTTTACAACTGAACTTAAAAAGTACTTACCAAATTGTTTAGAACTTAGAAAACTATTTGGCAGCAAAGTAAAACCACGACGCCTCTCGCGTGTAGTCTGAGAAGAGATAAGAGACTGAGGAGGATATACAACTGGTTACAAGATAGATTATCTTCTGAGGTAGAGATGCAGTAACGACATTGGCACGACATTACAAACTTGAGAATACTTTTCTGTCATCATTCTAAAGTTCATAAATAAATTTACTTCACTATCACAAGTTTGTATGGAAAGAGAAGGTGTACACAAAGGAAAGAACTAGAAATAAAATTTGAGTCAGGAACATCTTCATGTTCAAGGTAGGGTTGAGTTCTAGTCATGGATGCAGAAGGCATTCTACTTCTCCCAACCCAAAATGTATCGAACGCCACATCTTTTTCAGACTGCTTCTCCATAGATTTAAGTTTCCTCCTCGTCTGCAACTTGAATATGACTATCATTACCAACCCCAAAAATGCTAGCCCAAACACAATTCCAATCACAAACAGTTTCTGGTGCCTCTTTTTCTTCCCCCCTGGCGGGGGCTCTGGTGCTGGTGCTGGCGGGGATGGAACAACAACAGTGAAATGCCCTAGACCACGCGTAATGCACTCATTTTCACTAGTCATGTTTGAGATCTCAAAGCTCCCCCCGTCACCAAATTGGACACATTTTCGTGTCACATTTTCCCCTTCCGCAACATCAATGTGAGGAAACCGGATTGTGATGGGGTCACCCTCGGTAGTGAAAGTGAGCTTCTGGTTGCCAATTGCTGTTGCATTTGGAGAATCATAAGCCATGAATCCAACAACAGGAGCAACCAATGTATAATTTGACACTTCGTAGTAAAGTGAAGACCAATTGCCTAGATTTTCAAACACTATAGCTAACCTTCTGCCAGAAGGTATTGGTATAACCCTTGGTGGGATATAAACTGAACTGAAATTTGCACCTCTACTCCAAAACTTTGCAGTAAGGATCCTAACAAAGGAAGATTCCATGCCGGAAAAATTAGCCGGGAGAGAAATGTTGTACAACGTGCCGGTGTGAGGGTTACTTAGGCTTACATTTGCATAATCACGGAGGAAATTAGTCAAGGACAAAGGATCATAGCCATTCGAGGCTTGCGTGCATGACCGCAATGGCAATGACAAAGAAAATAAGATCATCAGCCAGATTATGCACCAGTTGAAGAACTCCATCAATCAATGCAACCCTGAGAGTCTCGTGATTTTATTGTTAAATTCTTCTTGAATTGCAATCACATATATCCATCTGTATTCCACATCCATTAAAGCTCCTATTATACAAACCTCCCACAATTCATAACGAATAAAGAATCTGAAAAAAATCCCACAAACTCAAAGGCAATAAACAATTTGCTTGGTGCAATGAAAGAGGTGTCGGCAGAATATGCCCAAGAAATGAAGAGATATGTTAATATTGTTGGCTTAGGTTTTGAGAAGGTAAACCAAAATCACATCACCAAAGTAATATTCTGCAAAATGAAAGCCTGCTGCATGAGTCTAAATTCTTCAAAATCGTCCTCGTTTCGTCTCGATGTTCTTGGAGTTTTTCCTAGGAAATAGAGGGCAGGCATTTGGGATGTATTGGAGAGGTTGAGGGAGGAGAAATGGGGGAGTGGAACATATGGAATTTAGAAGAGTTCTGGCTGTTGTTTGTGTAATATATTCTATGAATATGGAAAGCCATGCTAGTTGGGGCACCAAATAAGAAGGGGTCCAATTTATGAGTTGTTTAAGGTGTTATTTTACTATTACAATTGTTAATTGTTAATTTTTGTTTTTAGTTTTTGTTTTTGTTTTTTTTTTTTTTTGAATTCCTAGTTAGTTGAATTAGCTGATGAAGGAAAGGGTGGGAGTGGCTTGGTTGCTTGTGCTAGCAAATGCTTTGGAGGGTTATAGTTCCACAAGAGAAGACAGAAGCGCCGGATCCTCTAAAGTGTACAATTGAGCATTATTTTAGGCAACTGATTTGGATCCCTCTTCGCTCAATGAAACTCAAAAGTTCTTTAAGGATAAAAAGGGAAATGACAAAAAAGGAAGGACAAGCAAAAAACATATCACGTGGAGGAGTGAGACAAAGACACAAAAGAAATATATAATAAGTTCATATGATAGGTAAGTCCTTCTCCAGGGCCCCATGGATGAGTCATAGGGTATACATTTTAATTATGCAGTGAGAAACAAAAATGTAGTCCCTTGATTTCATATTTCATAGTGCATACAGCTGCATATAGCTTTCTTTTCTCTTTTTCTCCACAATAATTTTTATAATTTTATGTAGGAAGATTAGTATTGTTTTATACACATACACAATGACATCTGTCCTTGATTTGAGAAGGGTGTTCGTTGATGATATGTTGGATGTAATTGAGTTGACCTTTGTAGTGGTTTGGTTCAAATGTCCTATCCTATTTTTAAAATTAATGAATAGGTAAAGATTCCAATATCCAACCATAACTACGAAAGTTACTCAGTGCTACGATGTGGTTACATTTTCTTTCTTTGTAAGTGATATTTTAGATTTGAATATCATGAATGACGAATTTGATACCAAATTAGATTGCTATTGTGTGACTTAGCTAAACTCCTCCTTCGACAAAAAAAAAAAAGGAACTCTCCCCTTCGAAAAAAAAAAAAAGAACTCTCCTATTCGTTTGTGTAAATATATCGTTGTATTGAATAAAGTTTTTATTTTTTTCTTGTTTCCAATATTATTGAATATTGTGAATGACGAATTTGATATCAAATTAGGTTACTATTGTGTCACTTAGTCAAACTCCTTATTCGACAAAAAAAAAAAAGGAACTCTCCCCTTCGACAAAAAAAAGAAAGAACTCTCCCCTTCATTTGTGTAAATATATTGTTGTATTGAATAATTTTTTTTTTCTTGTTTCCAATATTATTGCCGAAAGAATTGGCTTTGTCATCTGTTAATAACAAGAGATTTTTCCAACCACCGAATATTCAATTGGTACTTGGACATTGATATATTTTCAAGTGCAGAACAATATGCTTGTCAAAGCTCAAAACAAAATAACCTCGTTTCAAGTGCCTCTCGAAACAAAATAATCCACGTTTGAGTCCTCTTTACAGGAAAAGGATGGGATCTCGGAATTTTGTGATCGGGATCGTTCATCATACATCTTGCGGTCAGTTTTCGTTAGGTACTATTAATATTTAATTTTAAATTTTAAATTTTGAAATGATTTATGATTGCACGATGTACGTCCGGAATCCCTAGAAAAAGGATCCAGCGAGGATCCTTGTCCCTCTTTACATGTTATAATAGAGAGTTTATTCCATATGTTTAGAACACGAGGTGGTACATCACAGTGTTACTATTAATAACTTAAAAAATAAAATTTTCTTCCACTTATATAGTAATACGTGATATACCATCCTGTGTTTTAAGCACAATAATAAATTTCTTGTTATAATATAAGTAGAGAAAAAGATATATATTTTTATGTCCCTCCACTGATTTTATGACACAGGATTTACCCACTTGAATACCTTCTACTTTGAAAAATCTCTCATTAATACAACATTAAAGGGAGATGTTAGGGAACGTTAAGAAGCGCTTGTTAATTAGAAGTGATTGGCGCATTAAAGTTTAGTTTTTCGACTTAGAAAGTCTTTATGCAATATCGCTTCGATATCTCTTTAACAACACAAACTTTCTAATTTGGAAATTTTATTTGAATTCATATAACATCATTTTACATTTAACTTAATTTTAAATGTGAATTATCTTTTTAGTCCTATTATATAATTACTATCAAGTACCATAAAATTAACACAAAAACTAAAATTTATCAATAAACTCACATCCAATAATCAAACCGTATAATCTTTCTTCTAGGTTCTAATTTGGCTAAAACCCTAACATTTTTTTCATAGAGAAAAACAAACTCTTTTTGACGGATGGATGGTAATTTTGAAATTTCTGATCCTTCAAATTTTTCTTGCTAAAAGGAAACAATGATCACTCGAGGAGAAAGTTGAAATCAGATAACCAAATTAGGTAATCGGACTTGGAAAAATCTCGTCAAACAATAAACCAGCCTGGAGCACCAGGTGCACATGAAACCATAACCCAATTCAGTTTTCTCACAATTCTCCATTAATTCAACCTATAACTCACTTCAAACACTCTATACTATAAGAAAACACGAAACTTTTGCAAACTGAAAGAATATTTTGAACACCTCAATGCTTGAGTTGATTCGGTGGAGAAAAAGAGCAACGAAATTTTCTTATGCCATTCCACATTCTCTCTAGCAACACCTTAGAAAATTTTCCTACGCTTTGTTTAGACGTTAAATTTTTTGTCTTTTATTTTTTAAATGAGTATAAAGATAAACTTACATATTGAACTAGGCCTATGATGGTACTTTAGATAATAAATTTG